GTGACAGAGATCTCTGGGAGCGGACCAACCAGGAACTGATTGTGAAACAAATAAGCAGGAAGAAATGGATATGCATTGGCCACATTCTGGAGTTACATCACTAGACAAGCCATTGCTCTAGTGGGACCCGAAAGGGAATCAGCGAGTTGGTTGTCAGTGTGAGGGTGACTTGGAGAAGGTCATGCGAAGAGGAGATGAAAGTGTGTGGGCAGACTTGAAGCCAGGTGAAGACTCTAGCAGGGAACCGAACGCAATGGAGACGCACGGCTGAAGCCCTATGTTCCTATAGGAATTAAAGGAAACAATAATAATAATACCCATTTCGTGATTTTAACGCGACTGGCACCAACCGACCAGTGTCATCGGCAGGAAATCCATCCTCACACCCGGACTGAATGGACCTCATTGGTCACAACTTCTCACTAGAACTCCAGGAAACTCCGTCCTGTAGCTAGTCGTTAGCGAGTACCAGTGGGTGCATACTGTCAATGATTCCCAAACTAGAATAAAACAGCTGTCAAGTACTCCTTGACTGGTTTTCAGTGGTTCTCTAACTGATATTTATCCATAGTCAAACTGGAAATACAAATCTAACCCTTACAAATCAACTTGTTTAAATATTTGAAATAACACACAGTGTTGCAGTATTGATAGTTGGATGACGTTTTGAGCACAATTTATTGCTGCTCATAATTACATCAACTCAGTCACACGGCTTCACACTTTGTCTCATATATTCTGTCTTTTTATCTCTCCAAATTCCCTTTGTTGTTTGTTGTCACTTTCCATATCTGCTGTGTAGGGATTGTGTTATCTTGAATTCATGTGTGCTTTGTTCAGTTGATAAGCAATGATTCTCTGATTAACCCCTCTTCCTCACCCTCTAACTATATTACCTTCTTAATACTTTCAAACCCTGTCCCATCCACCCTGTAGTGTGATTACATACACAAACTGAGTCCTGGGTCACAAACTGGTTGCATTCCTACTTCTCAAACAGAATGCAGTACACTGTATATAAAGGTAAATCCTCCTCCGCTGTGCTCACTGAAGCTGATGTCCCCCAAGGTGATGCACTCTCCCCACTTCTCTTGTCTTTCTTTCTACATGACTTACCATCTTCAAATGACATTAATTTTGTTAAATATGCTGACAATCTGAATGTATCTTTGCCTGTCAAATGCCATAGTGACTGCTCCAAACTAAAAGGCTTTTTTATCAGAAATCAGCCAGTGGTCCAAGGAAAACGGTCTTACCTTAAAACCCCTCTAAATGTCAAACAGTCAATTTCACCTTTAGGTATAAATCTGACCTAAACAAACTGGTTAGCACTCACAAAGTGTGCAACATAGATGGCACTGAAATAGAGGCCAAGTCGGAAATTAAATATCTTGGTGTCATTTTATCTGCTGATTTTTCCTGGTCGTCTCATATCTTGATGATTTCTAAGAAAATATTCCGTCTTACCTTCTACATTAAGAAGTTAAGACATTCGATTCGTTAACTCTTGCATCCTGCTTATTATTTTCGATTGTTCCCCCTTAGTTTTTCCCGAGCTACTGAAGAAAGACTATATCTTATACGTAGGGTGTTAAAGGTTGTCAGCAGGGTAAGCAATGTGTCACTTGACCAGCTTGTTAATATTCTGGTCGACAGGTACATGGACTCATGTGAAAAATGGGCTAAATCCATTCTATCTAACCCACATCACCCTCTTCACTCACAACTCTCCCCTTGTATCTCATCAGGTAAAACCAGAAGCCTATATAGAAAACTATATGCTCGCACCAGCAAGTACAAAAACTCAACCATACCCTACTTGGCTAGTGTTCTGTGTGATAAAGAAAGCATTAGGCGTGATACCTATGACTTATTAAATAGTCAGTAGAACAATTGGATCTCGTCTTTCCAACTCATGTCATTTATAGGTACAATGCTTTCTTTCTTTCTTTTGCTTTTCTCTCTTTTATGTGCTGCTTTTTTCCCCTCTTCCTTACAATCTCTACTTAAAACATTCTTCTTCGTTCTTTCACACTCTGTATATCTCAACTTTTTTGTTACCACTTACGCCAGTAAATATGCTAGCATCTACTTTTCTAACACCTTCAAACATTCTGTTCACTTTTGGCTTTGCTACCGATATGCTATTATGTTATTGTCAGAATTAACTGAGACTACCCATAATCTATGTAGAATTTTATTTATTGGTAATGTACAAACTGGATGCAATACTGTAGTGAAGTGCTGAGAATTCCATTCTGTATCACAAGTACTGTTTTGGAATAAGGCAAATTATTATTATTATTAATATATTATTAACCCTGTCCCACCCACCCTGTTGTGTGTATACATGCAAGTGAATGCAATGCAATGGCTGAGTTAATTTAGCAGGGTCGATTATTCTAGGTCTAGCTAAATTTTAATGTTCGAATGATCTAATTGACCCTAATCTACTAGTTTGAGCTATGCTTAATTGACGTCACAGGCATTGCATGGTATTTGGTAAATTATATTATTTTTTAACGAAAGGAATATTCCCATTATTGAGTTATAAAAAAACGTCGTAAACAGAGGAGGATGTTATCTTTTCAACGATTCCTCCTCATTAGATTTACAATCGTATACATATTTAACACAAAAATTCATAAGACCAATCCCTCTTAAATAGTTTTTTTCCCTTGCGTTCCCAGTGGAAAATAGGGGGCTTCAAGCTCTCGCTCTGAAGTTTCAGTAGCCCCACACCCAACCTCCCCTCTTTATCGAGATTATAACCGGCTAAGGGGGGCGGTGTGGCGGCCGGAACTCAAACCCCGGACCACGTACATGGTCGGCCAACATTCTACCGCTGAATCACTGACTCATAATTGCAGTCAGATACGGTAAATTTGTCCTGAAAAACATATTACACAATGTAAGGTGTAATATAGTAAGCGACGACTAATGTGAAGGAGTGACTAATCAATATAATTCTGTGTAGTGGGCAAAGACTAGTGGAAAGATGATAAAGTGTTTTTATAAAATCTGTATGGAAATACAAAGTTACTAATAAACAATAATAACAATAATAATAGTAGTAAACTTACATGATAAAACGAAGCAGAATTATAGTAGGGATGTTATCTTGGCCACGGTAGGGCGGGTAAATGTATGCAGTGCTTTAGAATGCAGAGGTCCGGTTTCAGATCCCGGATGGCCAGTAATTCAGGTATGTATAGATGGTATATTCGATGTCTTTTCATGCGATATTGAGGAGCTCTTTGAACAACTGTGTCAACTCTGAATAATCAAGCTGTTGCTTATCATTCGGGTTCGACTTGGGAGCCTCACTGACTTGAGATGTCACATTTTTTAGTACATTTGACCTCCACTGCCTTTATTTCACAGTCTAATCAACTAGGTTAGTCTTGCAACATGAAAGTCTGGGGTCTAATGCATGACAGGATATTAGGACGAAACAGATTTCCAGTACTCTCTGATTCTCCTTAATCGCTAACTGATATTGTTTTATGATGAAACTTACATTTAATGCATATATATATAATTTAGGTTTAATCACCGAAAGGTAGTTGGACTTAGGAATTCCCTTGTGTAACCTCAAAGAATTACTCTTTAAATGCACAATTAATGTGCACTTTGTCTTAAATAATTCATACTACGGACAAGTAGGTGGAACAGCTATGGGTTCACCACTGTGTACAATATTAGCTGACTTCTTCCTCGCAAAACTTGAAAATGGGAAATTGAAAGACATCATCAAGCAGTTTGATATGTATTACCGATATGTCGATGATACATTTATCTTAGCTGATGGGAATGTAAACATGAACGAATTGTTGATGAAATTCAACAACGTCCACCCTCCGCTTACTTTTACTTGTGAAGAGTAGCAGGATAATAAACTAAAATTTCTGGGTGTCTTACTAAATAGGCGAGAAAATGGGTCACTTGGGAGAAGCGTATATAGAAAAAGCACATTCACAGGGCAATATACACACTTCCTTAATTACGTGCCCATTAAATATAAAAGGAATGTTGTAAAATGTCTTACGAACAGAGCAAGGGAGATATGTACAGATGACCTCTTACAAAAGGAATTTGAATATATTCACGACTCCTTGTTGGAGATGGGCTATCGAAGTAGTTTCATAAAGAAACATGGAAACATTGGAGAGAAAACTTGAGACTGTGATTATACGTCAGAAACCTCTATTTCTTAAGTTACAATTTAATGGTAACTTGTCAAGTGAGATTCCATTCCAGAGACTTTCCAGGAGTATACGAAGAATGTTTTACGCAGCATACCTATGTTTGTCATTCTGTAGCCGACGAATGATTGGGACGCAAACGAAAGATAAGCTACATAGTTTTGCCACATCTATGTGCATTTATGGATACAAGTGCACCTGTGGTGACAGTTATATTGGGCGTACTACTAGACAGCTTAACCAACGTGTTAGTGAACACCTCCCATCGTGGTTTGACAAAGGACAGAACAAAACAATCCGTAGCTCAATTTTGTCACATTTACTTGATAGTGGTCATGTAGTGGAGAAAACGAGAGCTTTCAAGGTAATTCATCGCATCCCACCGAATCTTTCCAATAAACTTCGTATTCGTCTACTGCAAACAGCTGAGGCGATAGGCATTCGAACAGCTATTAAGCCTAAACTATGCATTCAAAAGAAGTTCGTACAGCCATTATTTCTCCCTTGGCCTGTCAAGACATAACCAACTAATGACTTCTACACCACCCCTTGTTTATATTTTCAACCCCTATCTTATCATCCTTTAATCTTATCACATCTTCATTAAAAAACGTATTTCATTTACTTCCCTTATAATCTAGCATTACTTAATCGGTTCATTCGTTTTTACTAGCCTTTATCGACTACTACGTCTACCTGAATATTTGTTTGTTTAATCATGCTATATATATGTATATGATGGTTTTAATTCCGTCTTCTATGGCAATTCAATTCCCTTTTTTCCTCCTATTACAGCATATTCTTCAACGTTTTGCATCTAATCATACAATCGACTGGAAAGACTACAATATACACACAGTAGCAACTGTAGCTAAACGTGTTCTAGTCAATATACCCAATGGATTGATCGGTTTAAAAGGCGAGAAACAGCTTCTGCAAACCGCCCTACTAACACAACAATTACAGCAACAGAGTGATTCAATTCAGGTGAAAACGATTAAAAAGACGAGCCCGTCTTATTTCTCCTATCCATCGACTATCCGAATCACTTCGAAAGATGCTCCCCTCGATCCTCCTCTGCATCCTTCTCATCCTATTCATCATGAAACAGATGAATTCATACATGTCTCGAGTATTCTACCCATCTTAGAATCACAAACAAATGCTGGTAATAATGATTCAAGTGATAATCAGACAACGATTGCAACACCAACAACAGCAGAATCTACTAGACAATCACCTGATCAAATTGTCCGCCGTGCTGTTGTCATTAGCAATATTCAATCGAATAAATCAGATGGAGTGAATATTAGTTTATTATTTTCATATGGTGCTATACAACAAATTTATCAGCTGACGTCGATCGATTTAAAACGTGTACAAGTTTTTCAAAGGTAAGTATCTGTAGATTTTTTAAAAATAAAGAAGATTTGTAGCTCAGGTGGATGATTTGCAATTAATAGTGTTCTCTGAGCTGGTTGGTTTAGTTGCGGAGCTTTCGTCGTCCTTCTGGACAACATCTTCAGCGCAATATTTAGCATAAAGTGAAATGATTTAAATTTCTTCATGAGTGATAGAATTGCGTCTCCCAGTAACCATCTTCTTGACATCTGTATTGATCATTTTCTATTGACTTGGATTTTAAACACGGCTGCCAACTCTTTCACATGAGCCAAAGTGGGCATCCCCTTCGAATCAGAATCCAAGAACACAAATCAGCCGTGAAAAAACACGATATGTATTCTTTAGTATCAATGTATATAGACAATTATGGACATTTGATTGAGACAATGTCGAAATCTTAGACAGAGAAAACACCAAAAGTGCCAGGGAATTCCTTGAAGCCTGATACTCAAACGAAAATGCAATTAGCAAACATGTTAATGTAGACGAAATATACCAACTAATAAAAAGTAAATCAGGTGACCAAAAAGTTTAAAATCCAAGTCAATAGGAAATAGTCAGTACATATGTAAAGATGGTTACTAGGAGACGCAATTATATCACCACTCATGAAGAAATTTAAATCATTTCACTTTATGCTAAATATGGCGCTGAAGGGGGATTTGGTCCAGAAGGACGACGAAAGCTCCACAACCAAACCAACCAGCTCAGAGAACACTATTAATTGCATATCTGTAGATTTTTGTTGAAGATATTCTGTGTGTTGTGATGCACTTCTGAAAATGTTTTTTTTTGAAAAATCCAGAAGATGGTGATAATGAAATTTTCTTTGAGCTTTCTTATCTAAGCAACATCCAGTCTAGTTGGGTCCATTGTAATCTAATGTGAAATCAGTAGCGCAACTGATTGATTATCTGATCGATACTGCCTGACTGACTGGCTGGTTCCAACGTAGAACTTTGCACTGATGTACAGCAGTTCGAGTCATCACATTTCACTTAGCACACAAAGCAAGAGAAGAAAGTAAAAAGAATATAAAAAACAGAGACAGCAAATAAAGATATGAGGCAAAAAGAATAGTAATATCGAAGAACCATATAGTTTAATTGGATATGATAAATCACAAGGAGTGGATGTATCTGCACCAGCCATTGAGAACCAGGATTTTGAGCCATATCACCAATTGTTTGCAACCATTGGTTTTCACCATCCTGAGGACCACAACCAGTCAGGATGTAGATACCTTCCTATGTGGCTGGCTTGCTAGCTTAAACTAACTGTTATGGATTTCATTGACTGATGAAGTCATGTTTTGGTTTGACTACCACCAGTTCTTTTCTAACCTGACCCATCCTATGTCAGCTAGCTAATATTGCCTTTCGACGAAGGTGATGGCTAGGCATACATGCGTAGTACATTCCCTAGCCATCTCAGTCGATGCAATTGCTTCACAACCTCGTCTATTGATTTCCCCTCCTTACCTACTACTCAACTGATGACTAACCCCAAAATTACTCACCCTATTATACCGCTTCACACGGGAGATAGAAGGCAGGCACCTATGATCAAAGACAGCTAGCCGGCCTTTTCATATCTTCCACTTTCAATGTCCATGTCTCACTCACAGCCATGATGGAGTGGACTGCTGAACAGTAGTAAACACACCCTTTACTCGATAGCAGGATATCACGTCTATTAAGCCAGAGATAGCGTAAGTTGGTGGGAATATGCCGAACGAGCCCTCTGTGTCCGTGTTAAAATTTCGTCAGCGGTCAACCTGCTGGCACTGGCTGATGAAACTCCTCAAATAAGTGAAGCGGTCAACGTGCTCTACCACTTTATTTACTATTTCTAATGTAGGAATAGTCTGTAGCAATCCTGTAGCCTCACCATCTTACATTTGACGGGAGCGAATCGCATGCCGAACATTCGCAGATTGCAGCTCAAGGTGTTCAAAAGACCCTGCATTATGTTAGCGTACCCATCTAGAAGGACTATATCATCTGCATATTCTATGTCAACGAGAATATTCTCTGATAGTAAAAAGTCAATCCCTGAGTCACTGAAGTCAGCAGTTAGGGTTAATTGAATTAGTACATCAATGATGAAATTGAATAGAAATGGGGATACTGGGCATCCCTGTAGAACGCCACTGGTTGTCACCGCTTCAGTTGACAGCTCACCACAAGCTCTTATTTAGCTGCATGAGTTCGAGTAGAGTGCTTTGATCAGATTGACAAAAATAATTATATATGTATAACTGCGATTGTACAGCTAAGTGAATGAATTCTCCGGAAAGAGATCCTTTACTGAACTGTTTATTCTTATTTCCACTTCTGGTTGAGTATTTTTCGTAATTATTAGTTGACAAAGTGTATTCTTTTCTATGAATTCTTCAAATTCCACAATGATGCATATATGTATTTACATATCCGTTATTTTGCTAAAGAAGATGTGGCTTACACAATGAAACGTTCGGAAAAATCCTGCTTCTAGGATTTTTAACACGTTAGGATTATTTTAAAATAATGAGGGCAATGAGGAAACAGTCATAAAATGGACTCACACAAAAAGTTTGCAGGATCTGGACTTTGCCGATGATATATGTCTGATTTCTCACAAACTGGAAGATATGCAAATGAAAAGCAACAAGTTGGCATAAGAAGCATCCAGAGAAGATAGGACTTCAGGTTAATATTGAGAAAACAGAGGTGATGAAGATTCCTGGGCAACAACAACAGACAACAAACAGCATAAATAGAAGGAACCTGAAAGAAACTACCTCCTTTACTTACCTGGGAAGCACCGTTTCAACTACAGGCGGAACTAATAAGAATATCAAAGCAAGGATCTGGAAAGCATGCCTGTAGGACACCACTAGTTGTCACCGCTTCAGTTGACAGCTCACCACAAGCTCTTACCTAGCTGCATGAGTTCAAGTAGAGTGCTTTGATCAGATTTACAACTATAATTATATATATATATATATATATATATATATACATAACTGCGATTTTACAGCTAAGTAAATGAATTCTCCAGAAAGAGATTCTTCACTGAACTGTTTATTCTTATTTCCATGTCTGGATGAGTATTTTTCGTGATTATTAGTTGACAAAGTGTATTCTTTTCTATGACTTCTTCAGATTCCACAATGATACATATATATGTGTATATATCCGTTATTTTGCTAAAGAAGCTGTGGCTTACACAATGAAACGTTCGGAAATATCGTGTTTCGAGGTTTTTTAACACTTTAGGATTATTTTAAAATAATGAGAGCAATGAGGAAACAGGCATAAAATGGACTCACACAAAATAACTGGCAGGATCTGGACTTCGCTGATGATATATGTCTGATTTCACACAAACTGGAAGATATGCAAGCGAAAAGCAACAAGTTGGCAGAAGAAGCATCAAAGATAGGAATTCCTTCAGGTGAACATAGAAGAAATAGAGGTGATGAAGATTCCTGGACAACAACAACAACAGACAACAATCAGCATAAATGGGAGGAACCTGAAAAAAACAACCTCCTTTACCTACCTGAGAAGCATGGTTTCAAGTACCGGTGGATGGAACTGATGAGGATATCAAAGCAAGGATCGAGAAAGCAAACAAGCTTTCATTACTCTCAAGTCTGTTTTGAGGTCAACAGCACTCAGCATGAAAAATAAGGTCCAGATTTTCAACTTCAATGTGAAGTCAGTGCTACTATACGGATCAGAGACTTGGCCAGCGCGTCATAAAGAGCACATCAAACAAACTACAGACCTTCATCAACAGTTGTCTTTGCTCAATACTCAAGATCAGGTGGCTGGCCAGAAAAGATCAGCAACAGAGATCTTTGAACGCAAACCAACCAGGAACCGATTGTGAAACAAATAGGCAGAAAGAAACGGAGATGGATTGACTGGCCATTCTCTGAGGAAACCATCATGTGACATCACTAGACAAGCCAGTGCTCGAGTGGAACCCCAAAGGGAAGCGGCGAGTTGGTCGTCAGTGTGAGGGTAACTTGGAGGAGGTCACGTGAAGAGAAGATGAAAGCATGTGGGCAGACTTGAAGCCAAGCGATGAAAACTCTAGCAGAGAACCAAACGCAGTGGAGACGCGAGGGCTGAAGCCCTATGTTCCTCTAGGAATTAAATGAAATAATAATAATATTGTCATAAATTGTAAATTGTTCCATCCTCTGTGGGTTAGGTCATGTATGGTTGTTGTCGAAGAATCTCAAAATGGGACGAAACAGCTGTCCAGTACTCCACCGCTGATTTTCACTGGTTCTTTGACTGATATCAATCCGTGATAAAACTTGAAATAAAGCCATAAAACAAATCAGATTCCTAGAAGCTAACACTCCCGGATTTGTTCTAGGCGTTTTCAGCATTTTCATATGATCAGACAATGTTTTGTTTTTTCGAATTTTTAGTTTTGTAGGTCTTTCGCTTAATTTTCAAGGCGAATTTTGTTATAAACTAACTAATCGACAGATTTTTCACTCTCGTTTTTGGAATTCATCAACAGTGTGCACCCAAAGCGTCACCAGAGATGAAATCTAAGGTATCAATAACCTTAATATCCGCTTCCAGCTGATTAGTCACTACTGAGAATAGCTTTCCTGAAGTTCGGTTGACATGTTACGACTAGTGGGGTACACCATGTCAGAGTGATTCGGATGCACATCGATGGTATTGATTACGACTAACGCTTTATGGTAATTTGATATAACTTAGAATTCATGGGACAATGAATTCCAACTCATTGATTGAATGGTCAACTTGAAAGATACTGAGTACGGGCTGCTGACGAGTCTCCAACTGAGACGAAACGATGTTTGCTGGTGACTAAATCTAAACTGAAAATTCATTTTCAATAAAGCGAAAATATTCAATCAGACGTCTAGATAAAAACAAAATAATTAAGCAAAGAATATCCTTATCGATAATTTCCTCTTCTGGCTCTACAATTATATACGTTTGTGTTTATATACGTGGAATATTATAGAATAGTAGTCAGTAATAATGTTTTGGTTTTTTTAAATACTATCGATTTGTTAATTAAGAATAATGGAATTACAGTTCAAGAAAGACGCATAAATTATAATAAGCATAAAAAATGTAATCAGAAATAGAATATAAAATTTCTACAAAAATTGAGGATCATTCAATCCTAGATGGCCAAGGTAGGGGTAATGTCTGAAATAGCTTCTTTTGGACGCATAAATTAGATTTCTTAATGTGGATCCCAACAATCAGCCTCAGCAATATGTAGTAGACGAACTTTTGAGGCGAAGTTAAGATTTGTTGGTATGCGATAGATGACTTTGAAAGCCGTCTCGCTGATATCAATCTTGTGTTCTGTATCCACAAGGTGAGATAGAATAGCTGTATGAGTTTATTTTGGTGGACCTGTTCGGCAGTCCGATAACAAACACGCCTATTTGCATGGCCTATGTATCTGGCTTCACAGGAGCAGTCAAATCGGTAGATACACAGAGAAGAGGCGAAATTTGTCAGTTTATCACTAACTTACGAACGCAAAATAAGGGTAGTTTTAAAGGCACAGTATAATTCAGTATCAGTGAATGCTCTTTCTACCTCTGATGTTATCCCCCGAAGAACTGAAGTTGTAAGAATGAGGCCTTTTCCGGAACTGTTGGTACCTTGGCCTGCTTTCATTTTTGATTCATATTCTTATCAATGAATTTTTCTGGGTGACCGCTCCCTCTCAGATAAATGTTTAATACTATTAAGTTCTTCATTAAGGCATTCATCAGAGCAGATTGCTCTCTTGCTCTGTGGTGGACCAAGCACTTTATCAGATTGAGTTTGTATTTCAAAGGCAGGAATTCATTTTCAGTAAAATTAAAACTATTTTTGTTTAGTTTGTGATTCTTTGTTCGTTGGTTCCTTTCACAAATACTCTGCTTTAATGGCATCTAATCACGTGTATACAGGCGTCTAGGGATAGAAGGTGAATTCTATTTCGTCTTAATTTAGAGTAATATTTAATTCCGAATTCATTTGTACATTGTGTATATGCCACACACACATCAGGATGACGACGTTTCGAACACAATTAGTGGAAAAGTAATAAAAATAATGACCATGAGAGTGGTAATCTTAAGGACAATATGACCAACAAACATACACAGAAAGATAAAAACACTAAGAAGAAGAAGGAATTTAAAGTATCATTAGTTTTTTACCACACAAGGAGAAAGCTTTTGAAACCTTACTTGGAAAAAAGCTTAACAAAGCAGGATTACATCTGGCATTCGTCCACTTAGGTTACTAAGGCTGTCACTAGTCTGAAATGAGAGACCCTATGGAATGACTCTAGAGGTGTTTAATGATTGTTGAGAAAGTTTATTGTCTGCGTTAACTAAGGTACTAGCCGGCGTCTGGGAATCGCTGACGACACTGGCTGAGAGTCAAGCTAAATCGCTAATTGGTAGAAGTTAGAATCCATAGTCCGTTCATCTGGATTCCTATGGCTCAGTCGTCGAGGAGCTTGCGTTGCAATCAGAATGCCCTCGGTTCGAACCCCCGTGGGTGCGTGCTGATGAAGAATGCTAGACTAGGGTGAAACAGCTGTCCAGTGCTCTCTGGTTTTCAATGCTTCTCTAACTGATATCAATCCGTGGTCAAACTCGTATAAATAGATTTATATAGAAAAATTTTAACCAATGTCGGCAATTTTGTGGATCAAATAATAATGTTAATATTAATAATAATAATTGTGTGATAAATGTTTTGAACGTCATTAATAACGATGAATATACTGATAACAAAATAGTGATAATAAGGTTTATGCAGGTGGCGATAAGAAAAGCGAAGGTAGTAATATGTGTCTGTATATGTAGACAATTCAATAAATAATTAAATTAGGTCAAACCTTAAAAGCTACGTAGTACTAAAGGTAGATGAAGTGGACAGATAATCAGAGTTTAAATAAGTATCATAAAATTACTAAGGAATCGGAAAATAATAAAGGGTGGGAGGGTGTTGATTAAACTTTACCTAGGCTAAGGAAGGGAGGTAGAACGTACTTCTTTTGTTGTATGCAAAGCTTAGGATTCTTCTCTCTACTTATCATAGCTTCGGCTGTGTAAAAGGCGGGTTTGAATTCCGTTCGAAAGGCTAAATGGAATGCGATCGATAACTTTGAAGGCTCTTCTTCTATCCACTTGGTGACCGTTATCAATTAAATGAGTCAAAATAGAACTTCTTATATATTTTATTTAACCTTTTCCCAAGCATGAAGGAAGATGCTCATTAATACGTTAGTAGAGCCGTCTAGTGGTTCGTCCCATATAACTCTCTCTACAGGAACACACAGAAGTGCCACAGCCAGGTAGGTAGCTTGTCTTTCGCTTGAACAATCATAATTGGTGGGCAGCTGGAAAATGACAAACAAAGGGTGGCGGCGGTGTAAATCCGTTTTATTGCTCTCGATAATCTTGGATGTAAGACTTCACTAGCCAAGTCACCATCTATCATATTATTATTATTATTATTTGATCCACAAACTCACCATCATTGGTTAAAAGTTTTTTGGATAAATCTCTGTAAATTAGAGTAAAACCCAAAGAAGATCTAATTGAAAACAACAATATTTAAAGACCATGTGTATTTTTATCTTTTTTTCAATTAGTTATTCAATATTTCATTACTTTTTTGTGTTTTGTTTTCAAACCATTGTTCATACAGCATTTTAAAAGACTTGACTTCAGCGCATCGACAACTGACAATTATCATTTTTGGTATTCTACATCAGCTGGTCTTCAATGCTGCATTCAATACAGCTAGTCATTATCATAGTCCTTCACAACAGCAGCAACAGGAAACAGAGAAAGATACTGAAGAATTGCCGAAAATTCCACTACTCAAGTTAGCTGAAGGTGTTGTGAAATCAGTAGCTGGTTCAATGTTCCACACGTGTACATCCTCAATTTTGCTAATTGATCAAACAACACAGGTTAGTTGGATGCATATTTTCGTGTTTAGCAGGTTATTATTTTATTATTATCATTTATTATTTCATAAAAATGAAAACTTTCCTTTAAACACTTTCAGTTTCCTTTTATTGAAGTTAGAGTATGATAAACGTTTTTGGTGGTTTCGAATGTTGGCTCACCTAGATTTAAGTTATTTTGAGTTATATTATGAAGTGACGCCGTTTACATAATCATTGAAAATGGGAGAGTAATGCACAGCTGTTTCACCAGTACTCACTCGTGGCCTTACCAGTCCTGTAGACCCACTTCGTGATATAACTTGGGATTAATCTAATCCAAATAAACCAAGAATTGAAAATTGATGTGTTGCTCCTTTCTGACTGGCTGCATAATGAAGTTTATTTGAAGTTCTAGGGAGTTATCAGGTGAAGAGATCATATAGCAGTAAATCTCAGAGGTTACAATTCACAGGATAGTGTATTTCATCCCAGTGGTTGAGTGTTCAGCTGGCTTGCCACGTAACTCTAAGGTCTTGGACTCGATCTCTTGTGAGGTTCACGGCTGAGTCTTATTGAAATCTTTGCCTAAGATGAAACAACTATCGAGCAATTCGTGTTTTTAATGGTTTTCTAACTGAAGTCAGTTTGTGAGCTAACTTTTGGGTATTGTTCTGTTCTGTGAGCTGGACTGTTCATTATTCGTCTATAGAATATCTTTAGAAACAGCTTCACAGTGAAGTGAGTACTTGGATTTCTTCATAGGTGAAATACTTGTCTTTTCTGATTAACATGCCTGTGAATTTACGTCGGATGAGATGGCTAGGACATATGATACGTATGCCTGCTTAGGCACAGCCTTCCTTGATGGGCAATGTTAGCTGACGTAGGATGGATCAGGTTGGAAAAGAGTTGGCTAGCGGTGGTCAAACCACAACATGGCTTCATCAGTCAATGAGATCCACGACAGTTAGTTTAAGCCGGCCAGCCACGTATGGAGGTGTAGACTTCCTGGTTGGGGTCCTTGGAATAATGGTACAAACCGTTGAAGGCTGGAGACAATTGGTAATAAAGCTCAAATTTGTTCTCAGTGACTGGATCAGATGCATCCACTCATTGTGACTTATAATACCCAATGAAACTACATTGTTCTTCCATATTACTATTGTTTTTGCCTCACATTTCTGTTTATTGTCTCTCTCTCTCCCCTTTGAATCTCTCTTTACCTAATCTCTTCTCTTGCTTTGTGTGCTACATGAAGGGAGTTTGGCAACTGGAACTTGTGCACATCTGTGCAAAGTTCTACGTTGAAACCAGTCAGTCACCTTGCCTATAGTTGGTTATCTGTAGAGATTTTCTTATCCTCTCATTCCCTTGTATTGATATTCAACCTTTTGAGCATCAAATAACTTGTTCTTTTTTACTGCTACATAAGTCTGATATATGCGCGTTGGTGGCACAGAGGTAGAATGCTCGCCGACCACGCCTCATGTGGTCCACGGTCCGATTTTTGGCCACAGACGCACTTCTCTACCTCGCTAATCCAGTAAATAATAAGACTGGTAAAGAGGGAAGGTTGAGCACCACTGCTACCGAAACTTCAAGCCTCTAGCTTGAAACTCTCGCTACGTTCCACTGGGAACGTAAAGGAATCAAAGAAAGTCTGATATACGTCAAAATGTTTGTTAATTGTAGACTGATCCTATTACAAGACTTTTATATTATATTTCTGGTTGACTAATTAACTACTTCGTTTAAAATTTGTACAATTTCCAGTCTTATTGGTGCCTATAGTTGTCCACAAGCATATCCGTTGCAATTTAGGCACTGAATCACAATCCAATTGGTAAATATTTCCAGCTTAGGTGTCTTCAGGAGAAAAAGCCGTTGAAATTCATTATCATTGTTGACTACTTGTGCATGTAATCGAGCTAGTCCAGGATACTTCCTACAACTGCATCACCAAGATAATAAAAACTTACTTTATTCTGGAGTGTACATTTCTATTCAGTATATAAAGTTCTCAGTGTATCAGATTTTCAGTGGCAGAATGCTCACAAGAGGTCCATATTTGATTCCTCGCCAACGAACTCTTAAATGTCGCCTAGTTTATGAGCCAGTACCAAGAAGGGAAAGGAAAATGTTTGGGTTTGATACTAGGCGACCCTAACCTGTGAGGTAACACTGATGCTGAAACTTTAAAAATACCATAAAGTTCTATGTTCGACTTGAAAAGCCAAAAATGAAAAAAAAGAAAGTTTTCAGAGTGTTTTATTGCAAGATATCTACTCCTTGGAGCAGATATGCTTCAGGTTGAATAATAGTCGATTGAATGTTACTTCAATCCTCCATTAGATTTATATTTATTTTCTTCAAAGGTCTCATAGAGGCAGATTGAAACCCGTTGAAAAAATGTACATGTTAGATAATTTACAAGAGAACTGTAATTGGGAATTAACTTGCTGACTGACTGACTGACTGGTTTCAATGTAGAACTTCGCACAGATGTGAAGCAGTTTGAGTTGCCATTCTCCCTCCATGTAGCACACAAAGCAAGAGAAGAGATTAGATAAAGAGAGATTCAAAAGGGATAAAGAGAGATGATAAACAGAATAGTATTATGAAATAACAGTAGATTTTTATTGGATATTATAAATCACAAATAGTGAATGCGTCTGCTCCAACCATTGAGAACGATCACTTTGAGCCATATCATCACCAATTGTCTCCAGCCTTCATTGGCTTTTACCATCCTGAGGATCTCTACCAGGATGTCTACACCTCCCTATGTGGCTGGTTGGCTAATACTAACTGTTATGGATTTCATTCACTGGTGCAATTAACTTGCTGGATTTGTGCAGTTTCGTATATGATTCGATTTTGTTTCATGACAAGTCACGGCACTTTAACCCCTGAATTTTGTTGATTTCTCAAGTACTTTATGTCTCTTGTTGCTAGATAAGCCATAGCGTGTATGTTTGCGTGTTGAACCGAAGCCATTTCTGCTTGTTTGGTGTTGCCTTCTCTGATTAATCAACTACACTTCGACAAGAGTCTTTTTTTCCTATATTTTGTGTTCCCCTTGGAAGTTAAATCTTCAAGCTTTAAAGTTTTAGTCGTTTTGGTGTTAATAGCCTGATGCTAAAGTTGCTTTTACGAGTGTGTCTTTTGTAAGTCGAACTACGTGGAACCACCAAAGCATCATTTATAGCCTCAAGTTATATAATTCCATTAACATCTTAACATTATTAAAACTGATAATTTTATTTTATGTCTTAACGTTCACAGTGGAACATAGGGAGGGTTTCAAGCTGGAGGCTTGAAATTTCACTAGCAGTGGTGTTTTTATTTTAAGGGATGGGGTTGCTAGCCTCATGAGGCCAAACCTTCCCACTTTACCAGTCTTATTACTGGTTTAGAGAGGTAAGGGTGTGAGTCGGCCGGGGATCGAACCCCGAACCACATGAGGCGTGGTCGGCGACCATTCTATCCCTATACCACCGACGCACTAAGTTATTTGGTAGACGGTGACTAGCAGTTGAATCCAGAATGCGCATTTTTTCCTATTTGGGACTCGTCATTGGCTGGATGTACCTGCATTCCGCAGTGAGTGATGATATTCCCACCAAGTCTCGAACCCAGTGCCCATAGTTTCAAACGCCAAAGCGTTATCCACTAATTCACTTGAGCCACACATCCGATATGATTGCATTTAATTATTTTTTTAAAAATTCAATTTACCCTAAACACAAAACTTACTTACATTCAGTTATTTTTTGTCCTGAGAAATTGAAATTTGTCCATCTTAAATTCAATTCAATTAAATAAATAAATAAATGTATATAAATAAATATACAACATAGCTTTACAAACAAAATACAAAATTAATGCTGAAGGTCGGTTAAATTTTCAATGTTCAATGTTTAATCAATCAGTCAGTTAATTGAATAACCTCATTTAAATGAAGCGGTACAGGGGTAATGTAAACATTCATTTTTATTAGAGGATATGGTAGATACTTATTATTATTTGTTTTAATAGAAAGTATTGATTAAAACAAAGTCTAAGTGTATTGTATTCGGTCAGAAAGGTTGAAAGTGAAGGCGGTTTACGACATAAACCATCAATGGTTTAAAAAGTCATTAAAAATCAATTTATACTGGAGAGCGACTGTTTCGTTTGTGACTAGGCAGTGGTATGCATCCAGGATGAAATCAAGAGGGCCGGGCAGGAAAGTTATCATTAAACTGTTTTATAAGACTACTTTGTAGTCATAAATTCTTTTGATTGGGTAAGAGTGACCCTTTTGCTGTCTGATCTTCGTATGGTTAGATATAAGGGAATGCATAATGATTCATGGAATATAGACTTTCATCATGAACGAGCAATAGTTAAAAACCACTGCATTCTAGTGTGCGTCGGTAGTTCAATGATATAAACATCGCTTAGTTTCCTAGACTAAAGATGTTAAGCACGAGGAAAAGGGAAGGGCGGAGATGAAGCTAGCAACTTGATCCCGTAAAAAAATATTTGTCAGTTTTACTTGGGACTGAAAGGAATGTAGGAGAAATATGGAATTATTACTAAAGATAAAGATTTGGTAATTTATGGCACCAAGAGATGTATCACATGAAATATTGTAGTTCTTGCGTGGGCAGGTTTCTTGCTCGTAAGTTCAGACAGAAGAAGGTGGTTGGCTTAAAGAGCCACTCTCCAGCCCGAGCCTTTGACTTGAAGTGTGGTCCACAGGGCAGTGGAGCAGCCTCAAGAGCTGCATTCTCATTAATTTCCGATGACAAAAGCTATTAGATCTTTCCTTATTGTTGAGCACATGGTTTTGAAATCTGTGCTTTCTGGCTGCAATAGATAAACCTGCATGTCCACCAAAGCAGTCCGATTGTAAGTGCCAGACAATCTCACTTACCCTTTTTTCACTTTCGGAGGGAAGAGCCTCGTCATATGAGGGTAGCGAATAGAACTTATCTGACAGAGGCTATAAGCACGTGACCACATGGCAGTATTTC